TGATTTTGTGCAAATTAGTACCTTTGCTGTAGCTCTGACTCAGAAATCTGCAAAGGAGGAAAATCGTAGACCATTCACAGGCTCCCAGATGACAGAGACCCAGCACAGTGTAGTGGAAAGAGCATGGGCCTGGACGCCAGACAGACCTGGATTTGAATCAGCTCTGCCACTTCCTGGCCTGGGATCTCACGCATGTTTCTGAGCCTCTCTGAGTTTGTTTTGTCTTCTCTGAAATGAAGTGAATAATGCCCATCTCACAGGGTTTGTGGTGAGGATGAAATGAGGTGACAGAGAAGCACTCAGCACACAGTAAATAGTGCTCAGCCTGCCCTCGTCTTCGTCTCGTTCAGTTCTCTTACGGGGTTGGGTGGCGTTGTCAGTGCCGCCAGTTTCCGGATGAGCCTTGGTTGGTGTCCCACCCTGTCATCTCCCCAGCCTCCCCCGTGCCAGGGCAAGTTCTGGCAACACGTGACCCAGCCAAAAGCCCAAGCAGCAGTAGGAGGACTGCAGAGCCAGTAGGCCAGGAGGAGGCAGGAAGTGGGGATGTCCCTGCAGCCACCTCTTCAGCAAGTTGGGTTTAAATCGTCCTTCCATGCCTTACGTGGCTTTCTCAGTTTTTATTTACGTTCAAGGAAGAAGTTAATAACTCAGTCTTTCTTTGTCTTTCATGAGCTTGAAATTTTTGAAGAATATAAGCCAGTTACTTTGTTTCCACAGTTTGGGTTTGTCTGGTGTTTGCTCGTATTTATGACTTAGGCAGAAAGTGGTGCTGCGTTTTTGCCTGAATCATTTATTGCTAAGATGGTTGCCAAATGGTGATTTTTCTGATTTCATCCTTCTTTCCCCTACATTTGTTAATTGGCACTCTAAGAAAAAGCTTTCTCTTCTTTTCCTGTTCATTTCAGCAGGGACTCATGGATTCAAGCATACCTATTTTATTCAATGGGTTATAATCATTATTATCCTTTTTTTTTTCTTTTTACTTTATGTTGGAATAAACTTAGACCTAAAGAAAAGTTTCAAAAATAGTACAGAATTTCCATATTCCCTTAACCTAGCTTCCCTTAACCTAGCTTCCCTTAATGTTAACATCTTACAGGATAGTAGTACAATGGTCAAAACCTCAAAAATTAACAGTGGTACAATATTATTTCCTAAACTGTAGGTCTTATTTGAATTTCATCAGGTTTTCCACTATTATGCTTTTTCTCTTCCAGGATCCATCATTTTAATTTATTTTAATGCTCAAATTCTCCCTCATTTGTACAGTGGGAGCTCCTTCAAGCAGGCTCTTTATCCTTTCTGCATCTCCCTATCATCCTTTGAGCACTTCCTTCCTTTCTAGCACAACAAAATACACCAGGCTTATCTTGTACTTTCCTACTCCAAGCCTGGAGTCATTCATTTTTCCAGGGAGCCCTTGTTCCGTTTGATGGAGAATGATATTTACAAACCAGCTTCTGGGCATTAGGTATGCTCATTGCTACTCGAGTATCACTGCTTCTATGTCCTCTCAACTGAAATATATGTATGTATATTCATGCACATATATACATATACACACACATCTATACCTATTTTTATATCTATTTATATACTATTAAAACCCATGAGTTTACACTGATACCTCAAATTCTAATCCAACACTGCAGGGTTTCCTTTAGCCTCCTCCATTCCATGTTTGTAACTACCATCTACAACAGTGAGAAACTTGACTCCCATTATCCTCAGTATATTTATTTACCTGTTTGCTTCATTTACCTGTATGTAACCAGTCTCCCCTTTGTGCTGGAGCCAAACTTCAGCTCTCTGATCCCACTAAGCACACCAGAGCCAAATCCTTGGCTCCAGTCAAAGGGAAGGGGAAGAGGTGCAAATTAGTTTGAGTACCCTCAACCAACAAGTCCTGTAACTTTCTGGAGATCATAAGCTGCTCTGTGCATGTTCACTTCCCTTGCCAACTTTTTCTGACTTCCATCTTCCTTTCCCAGTGCCATCATTACTTTCCTTTTCAACTAGAATATTGTTTGTACGAATGCTGACTGTAAATCCGCCAGGAGAAACTGCCTTGTTCAACTCGGGTAACAGTACCCGTACATGGATAAGCTTGGTCTGCAAGGTGACTTTTTTTTCTCCCTCCCTTGTTTTAATCTTTCCTACTACTGATCCTGCTCTGCAATAGTCTTTACTCCCAGGACATTTTATTTATCAGTGGAACTCTCCACAGTATTTCATGTGATGCCCTAAAATGCTTATACAATTCTTGGGCTCAAAGCTCAAGCTGCAGGGAAGAGGGTTAAAGAAACCATCCGTATCTATGACATATTTCTTTAAGGTGGAGGGAAAATGAATAACAGCAGTAATCATAATGTTTCAAATCAAAGTGTGCTATAATGGGTAGAGCTTGGGCTTTTGGATCTAGACTGAAGTTTAAATTCAACTCCAATAAGTTCCGTGACCTTGGGCAAGTTATTTTAATTTTTTCTCAGCTTCAGTTTCTTCATCTATAAAATAGGGATAATAATGTTTTCTA